CTTCTTCAGAAAAACATAGGTGATTTATGAAATTGCTGTCATTGGGATACATCAGTATTGTAGGGTATTGTATCCACACTTAGAAACATCTCAGTGAAGACTGTGTTGAATAAGAGGAACTTTGCACTGGTAAGAAGCAGCCACGGTGGCGGGAGAGACTTGGGAAGACGTTGGTTCCTTGTACTATTTCTCTCCAGGACACCAGACCTCAAGCACTAACTAGGAAATCCATCTCTTGATTCGCTAGTATCATGGCAACACAAAAGATCCATGGCTGCAGAGCATCTCCTCCCTCATTTTGCAACTGGAGAAACAGTTTACTGGCTTAGCAGCCCTTCATTACTGAACAGGAAGCAGTAATGTCCTTATGCAAGGGCATCAGATAGGTATGCCGAAAGGTCACCCAGTTGTCCATAAACTCCTAAATGCAGGTGACGTTCTGCTAAAGATGGCAACAGGAAATGAAACCACTGCAGCGGTGGGAAATGCTAGCTGAACCCCTCTGTCTCATGGCACTGTCTTAGCCAAATATTCCCAACTAAGTTTTTTTGTGAGATGACACCAGAACAAACAGAAAATACGGAGAGAGTTTCACTACAAATGTGTGGCTTGAGATAATGGGCATAGTTATGCTGGCATAAACTGGATCCAGCTGCTGGAAATCATTCACTTAAATTATTTGAAACCTTCCTATCCATCCTTTTCAGGCTCTGAGGCTCCACAGGGCTCCCTTTCGGCCTTGCGGAAACCTTTGGGACACTTGGGACAGAGGTGGGTGAGAAGCCTTTTACAGTAAAAAAAAAAAGTCACCACTGGATCGCTATTGGCAGTCCTGATCCCAGAAATGGCGACCCAGCAGCAATCTTTGAATATTAAAGGCCCTCCTCATCCCAAGGTTCCTAAAAAGCTTCTTTGTGGCAAAAGGGAGTTCTGTGGAGCCTCACATTTGAAGTTTAGGTCCCATTCGCTACCTTTTACTTTTCTTTTCTTTCTTTCTTTCTTTCTTTCTTTGGTAAAGTTATTTATCACTGAGCCTCAGCAAATCATAGAGCTGGTAGATTCCTCTGTTGTTGTTGTTTTAATAACAGTCCTTCAAATATTTGAAGATGGCTATCATATCACACTGCGCCAGGCTAAACATACCCAGCTCTCTCGGCTGTTTCTCATAAGGCTTGGTTGCCAAACCCTTCACCACCTCTATTATCTGCCATGAAAACATTCCAGTTGGTTGATTTCCTTCTGACCTGTGGTGCCCAGAAATGGACACGGTGCTCCAGGTAAAGTCTGACCAAAGCAGAATAGAATTGTAGGGTTACTTCTTTTGATTTGGACCCTGTGCTTCTGTTGATATACCCTAGAATTGTGTTTGCTTCTTTTATTGCTGCATAAGTCAACTCAGATTTAGCTTGTGGTCTACTAAGATTCATTGATCCATACTACTGCCATGCCAAGTGTCACCCATCTTATACTTGGCCATCTAATTTTTCTAGCCCAAACGTAGGCCTGTACACATTTTCTTTTTGAAATTCATGCTGTTTCTTTTGGCTCAATTCGCTGTCTTGCTGATGTCATATTGAATCTTGATTCTGTCTTCAGAAATATTAGCTACCCCTCTCGATTTGATGTCCTCTGAAAATTTGCTTCCTGTGAAATGAATATTCAAGTATAAAACTGGATTCTGAAGACTGGCTTTGTGTTTTGGAGTTCAGGCTCCACCACCTTGAAAAAGTACTTTAGCTGTTTACTTTTTGTTGAGTCTCACCAATGCAAGTTCTGAAAAACTGATGTTTGGGGACAGGCCATGCAGAGGACAGTGGCTATTTTGTAATTGGGGAACTCCTTCTTTTGGCAAACATTTTTAGAGCGCACATGGTACATTCCAAAACTCCAGATATGCCCACCAAAACTGAGCAGCTCTGAAAAAACACTGAAATATAAAAGTCTGTTTTAATTTTATCTTCAGCTAAATTGTTGAAATGTAATAGTGTTATAGGAGGCTGTGACAATGCATAAATCCCAGAGGGGGTAAAAATTAGATGTTCTAATTTTTATGAAGATTCCCCCCTATAATTTTTATTTCCCTCAAGCCTTTATAACAAAGAATAAAAAGATACATTTGCAAAATGTTATCTAAATATGCTCAGTTTTATTGCTTTGGATGCCTCCCCCACAACTCATACCCCAGAATGACCCTAGCATAGAGACATGTGAAGTATACAAGCTGAGAGGAAAATAGCAGCGGTGGGGGGTGTGGGAGTCTACTGCTAGCATTAACTGTAACCTCTCTCTCCAAATCTCCAAGAAACTGTTGGAGAAATTATCCTCTCAAATTTACTCAAATTGTCCCTTAATTGCTCTTCCTACAATAGAGCAAACAATTTGCTTTAAATCAAATCATTTTGTTTCAATCCTGGAATGTTTCTTATGCCAAATGATATTTTCCTTATGTGGAATCCATGTTCTTTCCCAAGGAATCCCATGTATTAGTATTTGTACAGTACCTGTTAATCTTCTTAGTGGCAAAACTACTAAAACTCACTGAAGCTTTTGAATCAGATTTTACTCATCATCCTTTCTTTACATAGGCTTTTTGCAAAAAGGGGTTCAAATACGATAGTTTCCCTATATAGTTTTTTTTTTAAAACAAAAAACCCCCTCTTCCCTTAAGGCTACCTTAGTGCTTTGCTTATGGAATGTGCTGTTTAAATAACACAAAGTGTAACTAATATAGTTTACATTACAGATGAGTCACAAACTGCATCTGTAAAATACAACTTTCTGAAATCTTGATCTGGCAATGTTCAGCACTGAGTACTTTTGCACCATGAAGGTTAAATTATATTACAAATATGATTATGCCCAAAGTAAAAGCGGATAATCTGTAGTTTAGAAAACAGAAGTTTGATCATGGCATCAACAAAACCCAAACAAAACAAAGGAATTCCAACAATTTAAACCACAACATCAAGGCCATATCAACATGTTCACTATCTAAAATGGTTTGTGCCATCTTCTGCCAGCAGTGCTGCTCCTCACATTAGAAAAAGTATCACAGAGAAACCAGTTTTGTAACACTTTAATCCCACACATTGAAGAGAAACGGATTACAAACTCAAGAGGGAGTCTGTAGGGAATGGCTTTACAGACAAATTCTAATGCATGTTAAAGGGTCTAAATAGAGATCAAGGCCTCTTAGTACATTATGTAAATTAATAACCTAGCTTTCTACAACCTCTTATGGTTATAAAGTAGTTGTCTCCCTTGACAGACACTGACTTCTGCTAAAGAAACAATGCTTAGCTTTTCTGTGATAGCCAAATCCAGTTTACCACCCGAATTGGAGCCTGCAGTTTCATGTTACAGTATTAACATCTTGGAATCTCATCCCTGGGTTAACAAACCACTGTTACTGTGTCGATTATCTATATCCTCACCTTTAAATTTTGTAATTGAAAACTCTATCTACTGATGTTAATCTCAACTAAATTAGGTTTCTAAGTCCTCTAACTGGAATGTTAACTGTTTAGGGTTTCTGTACTAGCAGGTCAAGCTCTGGATTTAGGCATTGGTTTGCCATCAGTGTACCCTTGTCTTGAAGAAAGCCCAACTGAACATAGAAGAACTTACTTCTGAGGAGATATTCCTAGCACTGCACTATCAGAGAACCACATGCTATCCTTCCTCTCAGATAGGAGCACTTCTATGAAAACAAGGAATTGGAAGCCATGCTTTTTTGATGTAACTTACTCCGCACAGTCTCTTGGATTAGACCAAAGGACCCAACAGACTTGTAAATTCCTTAGAAGTAACCCTCAATTAGTTCAATATAATTTGCTCCCCATTAATCGCCTTATGACAATTCACGAGAATGCTTAATGAATGGCAGTTAGATAGCCAGAGGTGGGAGGCCTTGGGAACCATGTTAGTCTGTAACAGCAAAAGCAACACTATGCCTGGTGGTGTTAAAAAACGCATGTACTTTATAGGGCAAAAGCTTTCAGAAACTGCAGCCTACCAAATAAAAATAGCTAGTCTTTAAAGTGCCACTAGAGTCTTCATACTAGGAAAAGAGTTATGGTTTGCCAGCTTTATATACTGCTTGTTTTGTTTTTCCTTGGAGTTGAACCTGAGTTTCTCACACTTCAATCCAACAATTTCGCGATAGTATTATGTGTTTCATAAGAACAATTATGTATATATCCTCACAATCCTACACAAGTGTGTGTGTGCATGTGTGTGTGTGCACGCACACATGCATACATGCATGCCTTTGAAATTAAAATATACAATGCAGTTTGGAATCTCCGAATACATGTTTGTCAAGTATATAATTCAAATCTGAGTTAAGCACTGGATACTGAGAATAGAATTTGGAATTATGAAACTGAATTATGAAACTGTGTACATCAACACACCTATGGCTTCCTTGAGCAAAGACAGACCTCAAATGCTATGGTGCTAGGGTGAGTCACCTTATGATGGTGCTTCTATAGAAGAAGGATCAGTTGGTACAGTGAGTGTTCTTGAGATACCCAGATGTATTCATATTCTTTCAGCAGGATGGTTCCATGCTGCCTGTTATGGTGCAGGCAATATCTAAATTAATGATTTTAAAACTATGGACATTAGCTAATTCTAGTTTGGCGCATAAAAGAGAAGTGGACTTATAAGTTATGTCTTTCTCTGAATCTCCTGTGAACAAATGGCAAAATGGAACAGCTGACAGTTATGAAGAATTCCAGATGTGTGTTCTGAGAGTAAACATCTGTAAACACATTCTACTCTTTAGCAAAGGAATAAATGTCAGCGTAAACTTGGAAAGATTCTCCAGCCAAATATACTATTGTTACCTTCTTTCATATATTCATCATGGCCCCCACTGTTCTTAGTTTGAACTGTGTTAATTTAATATGCTTCTCTGTAATGTTTTACTCTTTTGTATGCTATGAAAAAATATTCTGAAAAATGTATACGTACTAACATTAGAGATTTTTATCTAGAGCCCGTCTTAAAAAGACTGAAATACTGGGAAATGAATGAGAAATCGGATTTTCTGCTTCAAGAGACAGAACAACATGTGACTTGGAGGATTGCTGTGTTTGCAGTAAAAGATGTCAGAGGTAGGGAAAAGTTTGTGGATTACATTTTGGCAAATACTTCTGGAGACTTAATGGTATGAGAATATGAATGTTGCTTGGTAAAATCCATGAAAAATATGTGTCAAATGTTATCCTAGCTTCATTTGAGAAATATTAATTTGTCAAATTAGTAAAACTACCTCCATTCATTTTAATCATATATGTACAGTATATCTTTAATATCTCTGTTTCAATGTCTCTGTTTTGATGTCCTGAATTTAAGTATCACTTATATATCCTTTCAAAACTTAAAGATATTGTGATTAGTTTTATTCCCTTGTGGTCTCCAGATTAATGCAGAACAGTTATTGATCTTTTTATACATATATTACAAAAAGTAAGGGAAATGTTTAGAAAGGAATTCTTGAATAAATCCAAGGTACCCACAAGCTGTAACTTCCCAGACTATCTTTGCTGCTCTACAGGAGATACCTGTGGCCTTCCACATGTCAGATTGCAACTCCTATTAAGCCTAGACAACATAATCAGTGGTGTAGGCTGAGAGAAGGTGTAATTCTGCAACCTCTGGGCAGCCACATATATCCTAGTTCTGTTACAAAAAGATGGGAAGGCACCAAAAGGATGGAAAATCTAGTTTATTTCCCAGACTGCCCCATTAACTTGGTTTGATACCAAGATAGGTAAGAAAGGACTTTAAAATTCTAATTCCTGTAACTATGGTGCTCTGTCCACAGAACTGATGGTGTCATGTCTTGAGCAATGTCTCTGATATTATGTGATTTTAACTAATCAATGTATTCTTATCTTCCTGGTCACTGACTGTAATAATTTATTATTATTATTATTATTATTATTATTATTATTATTATTATTATTATTATTATCATCATCATCATCATCATCATCATCATCATCATCATCCGCATCATCATCCGCATCATCATCCGCATCATCATCCGCATCATCATCATCCACTTAGGCTGGATGGTCTGTCAAATAGATTAAATCTTGAAATGTCAAGGTGTCAAACTTCACATTTCAACTCATCATCCAGCTCTCTATAATGAGTGGTGAAAACATGGCTACCCTTGGCCCACTTTTAAACAATATTAGTTTATCAACACAGAATGTGTGCTTCCAAAACTAACCTCCTAGAATATGAGTATGAGCATTATTCTCTGTAAATATAAAAATGGTTATATCCAGAAAGATGATATAAAATATATGGGATAATGAGCTATACAGAATCATATAATTTAATGTCAAATTCATCCAGCCACTCCCAGTTTTCCATCAACAAAAGAATAAAAATCACATGTCGTAGATGTATTGTAACCTTGTTTGCCCATTTGATAGTATGTTCTTCACAAAGTAAAAAAATTACAGTGAACACTCCCATTTTAAATCCTTCCAACAACAAAAAAAATCCTAAATTACCAGTGGGAGGCATTCCAGGGTTTTGCGTCAGAACAGAATCATAGTGTACAGAACTTTATTGTTTTGGAAAAATCTCAAGATGATGAGGCTTTTAAGGGGAGGGAAGAGAGAGATGCACAGTATTTCCTGGTTTGGAAACAACAACAAAAAAGTATACTTTCTTTCTGGAATGTTATTCATTTTGTACCCCTCCAGGCACAATGCATTGACAGATACTGTATATCAAACAACAAAACAAAGGTACTCCAGAACTAAAAAGATAGGTTTATATAACTCAAGTACTAAAGGTACTTTGCACTGCATATTTCCATACTTTAATTTTGAAAATACACATAAGGAAGAAGACATAAAATGGCAACAGGAATGCATCCTGGTAAAATATAACAAAAGTTAGTGCCTTGAAATCTGCCCAGAGGTTGATAAATAGTAAAATCCTTTAATAATAGCACAATGTGTTCCCACAATAGTCCTGTTCACCCAGTGAATCCTGTAGCATGCCGTAGATTATGCCAAATAGAGATGAGTGCCACATTTGATCTAATAGGAATGGAACCACTGAAAAACTGTGCCTCTTATTTCTTGTTGTTGTTGTTGTTGTTATTTAGTCGTTAAGTCGTGTCCGACTCTTCGTGACCCCATGGACCAGAGCACGCCAGGCCCTCCTGTTTTTCACTGCCTCCCGGAGTTGGGTCAAATTCATAAGGCCTCCTATTTCTAAACTAGCTAAAATATGAAAGCAAGGGATACACAAACGTTCAAGAAAATTAACAGGATCCCGCTTCCCTTTTCTGCATCTTAGTGTTGATGATCCATTAAGCAGATAAGGAAATTACAATTTCTACACTGGCCCAGAAGGCCTGACTGAAGGGCATGTAGGATATATACATTTTACAAGAAGATCTAGAGCCAATCCATCACTTTGCATTCAAATATTCTCGTGCAAATTGGCAGCCTGGACGATGAACTCCGTATACAACAGATAATGCCTACAAAGATTTCTTAAATTGAGACAATTTGCCTCCAAAACTTTCACCTTTTGCAAAACTGCACAACAGAATTTGGGACAGTAACTTTACTTAATTCCTTATTCAAGAAATTCATTAAGGCTTTAGCAGGGTAGCAATGTATCAATTGTGAAAACTTCCTGAAAAAGATAATAGAAAGACTCAGCATTACCTGTAGTGCATTACTTTGGGTACTAATGAGGAATAGCAGCACCCAACCAATTTCTTATAATAATAATAAAGAAAAAGTTTAAGGCTAACATACTGGGCTTTCACAATAAAATTACAAACTCTGACATCAGTTACTTCAGAATGCGGTGCCCTGCTGTCCTTATGGACATCTGCCCCAAAGTCTTGCCCTAATATCACCACAGAATGTGATTGACAGTTCAGTGGCAAAACTCATTCTTGGAAGGAAAGGGCATTTTTCACATTTAGGTTTTCAATCATTATTAGACTAATACACTAGAACCAAAAGTGGATAAAGAAAAAGCATGTCTAACACACAGGCCCACTGATTAAAATTAGCAACAGCAATTAAAGTATTCTCCCCCCCCCATTCCAAATCAATCAGGCCATAGATGTTTGAACAAAGAAAATGATCAACGTTTGCAGATCTAAAAAATACACATCTCACAAAATAGTTGCATTAGAGAGAGCTGACACTGAGGTAACTTCCCTATAATGAGATTATGATCTTTGCTTGCTACTTGTTTTGACTTTCCCCTGCCTGCTTGTGATTAGATATTTTCACACATTTTGCTTCCTTGGGCTTTTGATGTTGTTTTTTTAGTGGTGTTGCTACAGTTCCTTTCAAGAGCTGCTGAAAATGGCACGAGGGAGGGAACAGATGGGTTAAGCAGGGCTGTTAGAAAGCTGTTTGTCACCCAAAATTTATTTCTATGGCAACTGGAGAGGTGCTAGGCCATTGATTTATCCTCCTCAACAGAGATAGGTGGTGGCTCATTAAACTTAACTGATACATGTGAAAAGAAGCCTTGCTCACATCCTTACTTCCCCTCCTGAACACTCCAGTGCCTATTTCTAAACATCTACAGAGATAAAGAAAATAGATGTTCACCTTTGGCTATACATCCAGACCACCAAGCAGTGTCAACCAGTGTCCCCCAGGAGTAGGATAGCTGCACCTCCCACTAACCTTGCCACATCATTCCCATTATCAAAGCCTGGCAGATCAAAAGTAAAGAGCTAAGCCTAGCAAATCAAAGGGCAGGGAGTGGCAGACCTAGCAGGGCAAGTGGTGGAGCCTGGTGGGGGCTGGTGATCTAGAAGGTGCCACATGTTAGGAGTTTGGTGGGCCAGGAGGAGGGATCATACAGAGACTGACCGGTCAAGAGGGAGAAACATTCTTTTCTTAGAAGCAGCCTTTCCCAGCCTTGGTTTTTGCAGATGTTGTTACACTACAACTCCTATCATCCCTAATCATTGCCATGTTGAATCAGGATGATATGACTTGTATTACAACAATCATAGGATCATGGAATAATTGAGTTGGAAGGGTTCTATATGGCCTTAGAGTCCAACCACCTGCTCAATGCAGGAATCCAAATCAAAGAAGATCTGACAGATGGTTGTCCAATTTTATCTTGAACAACAACTGAGGACCCCTGCTTGGGGAAGACCAGTCTATGCTATATTGTTATTGAATTTGCCAATGGCAAATATGTGATGACTCTTATAGACACCAGCATCAGTGCTCAAGGTGTCTGAGGACTTGCAGTACATGTCAACAGGTGGCCTGTGATCCAGAGGAGGACTCACCCTGAAACAGAGATTCTCCTCCTGCTTTCATCATGAGCCACTGATACATACCTGACCAAACCTCCAACTTGCTGCTTGCATTATATTTTACTGATCAACGGCTACTAATTCTTAATTCCATTTCTATTAACAGTCCTGAAGGACTTTGTTTTATCATCCCTGCAGACAGAGCAGAAGACAGGCTAGGCCTTGAATAGGCCTTGTGTATGTGTTCATCTGTAGAAAGACAAGAGAAATGTTGCAGTACACTATAGGTTGTGTTTGCATGGTTTGTTCAGAAAGACTGACTGAGAGCGGCTGGTTTCTATCTTTTCTATTCTATGTGTGTAGCAAAACTGCACACTTCCACAGAAATTGGTAGTCCAATGGGGAATTGGGTGCTTAAAAAGACTATGTTCCAGTTAAGATAACAATCATCCATTCAAGGAAGGGAATTTCAGGGGAAACCTCATGTCCAGACAATCTTTTTAATGTTGCTTTGATCTCTGATTTTGATTCCACAAGTAAAACTACAAAACAAGCCATTGGACCATTGTTTTGATAAATGGAGTAGCCATTGCCAACTACCACACAAGAGGCCTGCTAACTTAATTTGACATTCTGAACAACACATACATGCTCTTACTAGTGTTAGTGTTAGCATAATAAAATGTGCTGGAATTCATACTGCATTACATATAAACTGAACGAACTACAGCAGAGACACATCTCCAAGAAGAGACACAACATTTGTGACAAATAGGCATTGCAGTTACTTTTAAGAAGAATTTACTGAAGCCATCCTTTACCAAA